ACTCAAAAGCCCATGTGAATTCTCCTAATCAACGAATGGCAAAAATACCAGCGCAATGTTACATTTTAGCACTAACAGACTGGGGCCTTCAAGTGTCATTTTTCTTCCATATTTTCTGCACCGCCTGTAGTCATACCCCTAACACAATAAAAGTCTCAATCAATTTTAATAGCACTGCGTCACAAGATGAAATCCAATTTTGCATTTCTCGACATAGCGCTTTACATCGATATTCTTCCTCTCTGTTATGCGCATAAATGCTTCTTCTATTGTCAATGGCCATTGCTGAACTAAATGTATTGATCCATGGCTATAAATAGTCTTCTAAATATTGCTGTGCAGTGTATTATTTCAAATTGTTCCTGGGCCCAACATGAATCATGACGAGAGGTTTTGTGAAGAGGGTTTTGGTGATGGGGACATCTGGTGCTTGTTAGTATGGAAATAAAATCCGGCCGAGGTAACAGGGGCTTCAAACAAATGACTTGAACACAGGCCACAATGTTATTCGAAAGGAGCACAGAATATCAATATAGCTTTGATATCTTTCACTGGCAGCCACTCACCGCATTCTCCAACTGTATATTTATGAGATTGTAAACAGGGCTGCAACAACAGCCCAACGGATGTAAAGGAAAAGGACTTCATTTGTAAAGCATTGAGATGAACAACTGCAGCGCTGCAGATCTGCAATCCACACTCTCTGTAAATACTGTTTCATTTTGATTGATAACTCTTATTAATGTTGTTTATAAAAGTTGTATTGTAATGTAACCCTTTAGCTCCAGAAGCTCCTGAATCAAGGGTCGTTTTTGCATTTTAATAATTTTTTTATTTCTGTTGATTATAAATAAAGCTTCAGGGATCCCTCTTTGTCTGTTTGTATACCACAGTTTATATCCATAATATCTATCATTAATAATCACAAAAGAGCACACTGTTGCATATTTGCGACGTTGTAGTTTTCTTGTAATATTTTAGTTTATTTCTAACTAGGCTGGCGTCAAGTTGAACTCTCACTCTCCTTTCACATCTTTTGATTTCCTTCTACGTTTCCGAAAGCCGGACCTGATCACATTTATATAGATTGACTTCATTATAAAAGTGCACATCCAAAACTCAATAACCAGCGAGGTGAATGCACAGAGATTATACAAGGCACTAATCTGATTTAGTCTCCTCTCGCTGCCTCTAACTCAGATTAATCTGTGCTAACGTAGCTTTACCTTGCTCTGGGGCTGGCGGCTACGCACATATTTCTAACTTAGTGGAAAAGCAATTTTGTGTTTTTGTGACAGCTTGTAAATCTAGGTCTGAGCAAAGACAGTGCTCCCGCTGCAGCTTCGTGTCATGTGTCTAAATGTCGACTCATTGTTACTCCACACGCTGTGCTCCAGCTGCAGCTCCATTGCATTACAGCCAATAGAAAAGGTTCAGCGGAAAGTGTTTGTCTTGGAAGAGGAAAAACGTATTAATGTTGAGGTCTGTTGTGAATTACCTCCTGCTTAACATCTCTCAGTAAAAATCCTGCCCATATATAGAACTTTTTTTCACATAACAGCAGAAGTGCTTTCCATTAAAATCAGTGCTTTTTACACCAATATCAACAGTGCCACAAGGGGTGATAACCTGGCAATCCACCATAATTATGCTATAACCACCTCTAAATGTGTGGGACCAAACATCAAAACAAACTACATAAGTGAACGGATTATACTCAATCATACATGTTTTGCAGTCATTTCCGGTGGTTTGAAAAAATTATACACCTGATATAAACAATTTGAATATATTTAAAACAACTATAGCTATAACTAACTTCCTTAGTCTATAGGGTGCTGAGACACCTTTAATATTATTGTTGTTATTATAGTAATAACAATAATGTCTGTTGAGGGTCAATGAAGTATTATTTTGCTCTTCAATAATAGCAATAATAATAATAGGTCTAATTATGCCAATGATCAGATCGACTAATCCACAAGTTGGATAAATGCTGTCATGTGCGCTTTGGCGAACATACCCACCTTTCACATTGTAAGTTGGTCTACAAAAGTAAATGGAGATTGATATTCTAATTTTCTGAGTTTCTCCTTTATAAATGTGACCATTTTTCAGTCACATAGCCATTAATGGAGGAGATAAACGTTGGTTCTCAATTTAGTAAATCAGCATCAGTTGTTGACAAAGCAAATACAGTTGTGTTGTGCAATCGTTTAAGGGGTAAAAGTTAAAGTAAATCTTCAGCCTAAACTTTCCCTGTTGTAGGGCCTGAGGACTTGAGAGCTTCATAGCACTTTGTCGACTTGTGCTCGTTTATTTCCGCTATCATATCTGCTTGAATGAGCACTTCACAGTAAGCCCCCTGTGCCTGTATGGACCATTGACTTTGTCTCATTAAAACAAGGACTCTAACCATTCCCTCCAAAAGCGCTTGTGTTTTTAACAGTCCACGCTGCTTCTTTCAGATGAGCCTCTAAACCTCCTTTTGATTCCACACGACTCTTTGCATTTCGTCGAAGCGTTTTAATTAAATCCACGTCACGTTCTGTGTTATATGCAATCTCTTGGCCGTATACTTTGAAGTGACTGGGCATTGGCAGAGCAACCTGGGAGAGAGGATTCTGATTGAATGGATTCACCAGGCTGCGTTAACAAAAGGAATGGAGGATGGAGGAAGCGATGCGTAGGCCTGTCGTGTCTGTAGTTCCAGAGGCTCTCCGGGGAGCCAGTTACACACACATCACATCGGCAATAGTCAGCTACTGTCAGAGGCAGTGGGCCGCATGCCATGAGTGACCTTTAGAGGTGGTCGTTTTGCACAATCACAGTCTATATACGGAGAGTGAGATGGTGTTCTGATTGTGTGTGTTGCAAGTAACGATAGACCAAAAAGCACTTTTTCCCTGCTCTTTCTTGAGACTATTTGGCTGGAGCTATGACCAGCACATGGGCAATGTGGACTTTCTTATCCTTAGGCAATCTTTCAGTGTCTTTCTGTGATTTCTATTGTTTCTATGTCTTTGTGGAGCACATAAAGTTGCAGTCCTCTGAGAAATGTACAATGAAAAGATATTTTCTTCTTCCGCGAAAATTAGATATCTGTCATTTCTGATGCTTTGCTGATAACATTGTTATTGTGGAAACATGAATGTGTCTAAAACCTTGTTGTTGTGGTTTGGAATGAGTTACACTACAATCCTTAAGGCTTAGAAAGTTATTTTTATAAGACAGATAGTGTTTGGAGGCTAGTAGAGGTGACAGGTGTCTTATCAGCTGTTGTTACTGGTTGTTGTCAGTCTGGACAGATCGGACAGATCCATCAGACTGACCACGCCCCCGCCACGCTGTGGTCTCTGGAGAAGTGAGTCAGGAAGCAGTACAAGCTTCTTCATGCTCTTTGTCTCATTAAAATAACCTTCTACGCCTTAAACATAAAGAAGACATAAATTAGACATCCAAAACAATTTATATGGACTTTGGGTTAGTTCCTTTTGTTTCCCAGAAAGTCAGAAGGAGCAGTTGCATGTTTGTGACAGAGGTTCTTGATATGAGCCTGGATGGATCGAAAAACTACTCCAGGTCTGTGACCGATGAAGGAACAATTTTGCAACAGGGTTAAAAGCTCAATAGACTCGATTTCTATAAAGCTTTCCTTTAAATGAGCATTCCTCAACTGTCTTGGTGGTGGAGTGGTCCAATACTTGCTGTTGCGATAGATCTGTTATTGCTGTGCATGAAACGTCACTTAGTTTGGTTTAAACCTTTTAAACTTTTAACTAACTTTTTTATATTTGATAAAATGATGCAATGTCACCAAACTGGCTCAATAGCACTCTCTAGAAATGTCAACATTTGAAAGCCTATGGGAGCCAAACAAACAGTTTTGAGGCAATAAACAAAATTTGGAAGAGTGATAGATTGTGATTTTGGTCTTACAGTGACAGTGGCATGTTTCCAATGTTAAAGGAAAGTTCAATGACAAACTGTATAAATACACAGGAAAAACCACATTTAGATGAACTCAAGCACAAAGTGTTCCAGCTTTAAGCAGTAAACATCTCTGTTTGGACAGACAGGGTCCGGTACATGGATTATATTTCATGGACAGTATATTTGACATGCTCTTTGAATCGATGGCTCCCTTCTCTTGATTTGTATTCAGTTTGTAGAGGTCAAAAGCGAGGTGTTCGCCTTGTGAATGTTAAATACCACTCCAGCTGCGGTTCTGTCTCAGATGGAGGTAGACGGCAGGTAGTATTTTGCTGATGGTAGTTTAGTGATGTGAAAATTGGCCTCACCCCCAGATGATCAGTTATTAGACGCAGCATAGCAGGAGCTCCTCCCCAGATATCTGTGAGTGTTCTTAAATAATGCAGCCTTATATTAGTGATAAGGTGAGGCCAATCTATTACTGCACACAGACGAAAGGTTAAATGAAGTTTTACATGTGGGGAATAGTTCATATCATATGGTTATTCCAGATTTTTACAGTATATAATGTGTAAAACAGGATTATATTACTACAAAAAGATACAATGGAGAAATTAGAAAGAATAAATCATCTCTAAGCTCCAAATATCATGTATACGCTGCACTTGCAACATGCAGTTTAACATGCACTTAAACTGCCCGGTGAATCCCTTTTTGACAACTTGGGCTGAGAGGTGATTGGCTGAGTAAATGTTGTCCTCTTGGTCATTTTTCTGTCTGAATAGGTTGATCTAAAGATGTGACAGAGGCCAAAAATACTGTACATGCTTGTGAACACAAGTGGTAAAACCGAACTAGTTTTATGGATTTAATGACAGTTCTAATTGTTGTTGTATAAAAGTTAGATACCCTGGCTTTAATGTCTGATTAGCCCTCTCTGATTGGAAGATAAGACACGAGCTGCTTTTCTTCTTAGAGGTGACATCAGTGTCATGTAGTAGTTTCTATCGCGGATACAGTATACTCACCACATCCTCAGTGTTAATAATGTTGGTTTTGTCTTTCAGGTAAATACGTGTACCAGCCCATGACAAACGTGTGTCAGCTGCCCAGCACAGCAGTGCCCCCTGAAGGATCGGAGTACAGCGACACCATTGACCTGTCCTCGTCTCTGGCAGAGCGCTTCCTGAAGTTGGCTCCAAGCTTCCAGTCGCCCCCTCCCCTTGAGTCGCCCAAGTACTGCATCATCGCCGACCTGTTTGTGGACGACTACATTGTCAAACGCATAAACGGCAAAATGTGTTACGTGCAGCGCCCCGCACCGCCAATGCCTGAACCCCCTAATCCTTCCACACCTCCCCCACCTCAGGTGCCGCAGAACCCCCCTGCACCCCAGCCCAAAGCCCCCAAAGTCAACACAGCCTCCCCTAAAGCCAAGCCACCTCCAGCAGCCGTCCAAATGCAACACAAGACCGCCTCTCCTGTGGACAAGGTCAAAGGGCCCAAAATGGAGCACTGTTCGTCTCCGTCCAGCTCGGAGGACTCAGGCATAAACGCTTTGGGACTGCACTTCATGGAGTCGTGTGAGGAGAGCGAGGAAGATGATGGACTCAGCACGGACGGGAACTCCAGCCCGGCCAGCCTGTGGGACCAGGACGAGTGCTCCCTGCTGTCACCGTCTAAGTCTATGATAGAGATCATCGAGAAGATAGAGACTACTGTGTAACGGGCACTTCTGACCAGGACTACATCTGTGGGGGGGAATTTGACCTAGAATAAGAATCAAACAAGCACATTCACTGGGCCACATTATTAGATATAGCTTTTTTTTAATTACGTATTGCTTTTATAGACTGGACTGGGGGCTGGGAAGCTATTCAATTCATTGCAAAAGAAACTAGGACTTTTTTGTCAATACTTAAATCTTAAAGTTAACTAGTTCCTGACTAGTTAAATTATTTCTTATTTACTTTCTTGAGTCAAAACGGTTTGGTTCCATCACAATTTTTTTCACTTTAATTTTTTTTTCTCTGTTACAGTTTTTTTTTTCAGACAGAAAAGGGAAAAAGAGAGGCCCACTCTCCCTCAGCTCTCAACACAAAACAAACCGTGACTCACAGGGCTATTTCTTACGAGTGTGCAAACTATAACATGCTTTGTAATAGGAAAACAGCATGTTGTAGCTTAATTTATTGACTACAGACTTTCTGTTGGAATAAACTCTACGTATTATTAATGAAAAGGGTCGGATACCCCAGCCTTAACCATGGTAATTATCGGCAAGTTGTGGGCTTTTTATGGACATAGAAAAACACATTCAATATCATCAATAGCCACAGCCTTCTTTTCAACGCTGATCATAGAAATAGCTTCTTTTTCATATAGCTGATTTTATGAATGTTCTGTGAAAAGTGTATCTAATAATGTGGCAGTGAGCATAGGAATCCTTTTGGTCGATGCGCAGGAGGTTTTATATAATGGAACGGCAGTCTGACCAAGGACTGTCCTGTCGCCTACACACCCCCACATGGAGACGTCATCCAACTTCCATCCAACTTCCAGAAAGCACAACAAAACTGCACAGTGGACAAACGTTTCTCCCGCACTTGGACACTACAAGGTTAAATGATCCCTATTTCAGCAGCTCACATTTTTGAAAGCTCTATTATTTAATGTGGTGAATAATGTATGATTGCAGTTGATAGAGTGGCTTTCTTGATCAAAATGAGCAGTTCGGTCTTTCCCATCTCAAGTTTCGAGCGGCTAAAACCTGAAGCATGCCATTTCTCCTGTCAGCGAGTCCACCCACACATTAGCATCGCTCAATCGATAAAAAAGTCCTTCTTGCAATCGTAACAGATCTATTGCACATTTGCCTTCGGGGTGGATATTATGGAGTATATTCTCTCTAGACTGTATTTTCATGTACAATAAAGCTGCCCGAAGTTAGCTCACAGTTTATTTTACACCCTTTTATGTCAGTGTTAGACAATCAAGGAATAGACAAAGCACATTTAATGCTGTAGCTGCCAGCAAGGTCTGTCTAGTAGGGCAGCACTCTATAAAAGGGCGCGAGAAAAAAATAAGTTGTTGTATGTAGACGAGGAAGCCAAGTGTATAGCTGTGGACAAAGTAAGAGAAATGGACTGCCCATGTTTGTTTACAAGCATAGATTTTATATATTAGGCACATAACGCACATACACCCCATTAAAAAAGCTCATTTTGTCGACCTGTTGCGCAGAGGTTTCTTCAAATACACGTCTGTAAGCTGGCGGCATTGGCAACAATAAACTACTTCTGGCTGGGCTGATGCAATTTGAAAACCGTACAAATCATGTCAAGTCTTACTCTAATCAAACCACATGAGTGGTTTGCAAAATTGTACTTGGCAAAAGATTAGCACTACCAGGGTGGGGTGGCAACCGCTGCTCCCGCCAATATTACTGTCATAACAATGCAATGGGATGATGAATTGTCAAAACTAACTAGTGCTCTTGGAAGCAGACAAATAATGGATTTCTGGGCTTCATCGCTCAGAACCAGCCCCTGTCACTGGCGTTTTTGGACCAAAGGAGGTGAAAGAAAGGCTCGGCTGAGTGGAGCTGGCAGCACTTAGCTGTGGGTCAATTAGGCATGACAATATGAAACTTGTCCCTGACACATTTCACAGATGTGAAAACAACAAGCCAAAACAGACTTGACAAAGAGGTGTTTTCCCAGATACATAGTTACATATATAGGAATCTTATGGTATTGGAATTGTTATTTAATATTTAAGAGTGAAATATATTGTGTTGTTGGTGATGGTTTAGGGTGGAGAGACCAGCTTGTGTCACTTTTCTGTACATTTAAAGAGATTACAAAGCGGTGTGTTTTGGACGTGTTAATGAAGAACAAGGAGGCGCTGGTGACAGATAAATTTCCAGCAATTGTTGTTGAGGAAAACTTTTCTTTTAGATCTATTTCAAACCACAATATTCACAGATGTATGGCTTCAGCTCCTCTGACACTAATCGTTGAGAAGTCATTTTTGCATGACTGCTTCCACCATCAAAGTCCTCCGACAAAAAGCAAGAATCCTGCTTCTTCTATTCAGAGACAGCCCTCCGACAACACATTTATGTTATTGTCATATTATTTTCATATGAATAAATCTTAATAAACAAGTTTACACTCTGCAACTTGGCTTCTTGTGTGTGGACTTTTATTTCTGTGGGATGAATACGTTTAAGCCTACAAAAATGAATAAAATATTGTACAAAAGTTTATTTACTTATTTAACTGCAGTTCAGCTTTCTTTCTGAAACTAATATATGATAGACTAATTCATTAATTAATTGCAAATGGTCTACAACATGTAACTGCATGTAAGTTAAATTACAGAAATTAATGAACTTTTGAACAATATTCTCATTTGTCTGGTTGCATCTGTAGGCTATAGCGGGGAAAACGCTTCCTGCACCTGATGACTCATTCTCTCCATGGACCAGATACAGTCAGAGATGCTGGGTTATTTATGAATGATGAAATATGTAAAAGATTCATATATTTTAGGTCATCTCTCATATTCAAGTTTAAAGTGACGTGTGAAACTAGCTCTACTTGTGTCCTTGACGTCATACAAGCCAGTGAAGACGTATTATTGATAGACATTAACATGGTACTACACAAACAAAGGATATTTACTTTGCACAGCCAGACAATTAAATTCACTATTACATTTATTTCATATAATTCCAGGTTTATAGCCAAGGGGCTTGAGCGGTTTGGTCAATGAGGTTTTATTTATGTTCTGAGATAATAAGGATCTGGCAGTAAAGACTGTCTTTTCCTTCTGTTCCAGTGTGTAGTGGAGAATCAGTGCGGTGTAGGATGAAGAGCTTCTGATCAATGATAAGTAACGAATAATATGTATGATCTGTGTAAATACTGTATATATATGTGGATTATCCATTTTAATCCATGTTCACCCACCACCAATAAATCCTCTCCATTTGTATAACTATTGAATTAGTTATCTAAAAAAGATAAATAAAATCAATACATAAAAAATAAACAATAAATAGACAACAGAGGACTACGTTCTGTAGAACTCAAGTGGTGTTAAAACATTTCACAGAAGGTGCAGTTCGAACGTTCATCATGAAGAAATGCATTTGTTTGTTTACCATTTATAATTAATGTTATTTTCCCTGGAAGATATTTCTGTGGCCCTTTTCAGGCAAATCCTAACATAACACATGGAGACAAGTATATACATATAGATTGAACCTCTAAAAAAGACATTTTTATTATGCATCTGTCACAGGGGCGGTGGGAGCACTCCATCAATAAACATGAAACACGGGTAAAAAGGAAAACAAAATATTGATTGGTGTGGGCAAAATAGATATCTAAAAAGAGTCCCAATTGAGAATATATCTGAAACTAAATAAAAGTAATCAAGTTTGTGGTGCGCTCCTCTCCAAACCCAGTGCCCACGACACCCCACCTGTCTCCGTGTGTGATGTCACTGCTTGCCCTGGCCCGATCACTGCAGGCTCCACACCGTACTCCGAGCTCTGGAGGCCTTGACTGCTCACATTCACACTCTCATACCTGGCCTCTCTACCTAATTGCACTTAAGCCCACCCAATCACACACACGCATGCACCCCTGTACTCCACTACGGCCACTTCCCTGTGACATATCCACGTACAATCACGATAATATTGTATGATTGCTTGTAGGAGCTCTGTCATTGATGAACATGCCTGCTTCAGTGGAGGTCCAGTGTGTGAGAACAGAATGAGTGTCCTCTGAGTCTCCATCTTAAGCTCTCCCACTTTATCAGCGGTGATTTCATAACCCTGACAATGGAAGAGGCCTTTTCACCTTGAATCCATCGATTTCCATCTTCAGAGTTGATCTCATTGCCTCTGCATTGTACCTATTGATTTAGACTAGCACGCTGCAAATGCTAATCAGAATAAATGTACATCCTTTTGAAGAGACATTTATGAAAGTGTGGCTAGGAGTGTGGGGATGGTGCTGTCAGAAGACGTGCAATTAAAAGAGGTGCGATGATGCAAGCCCGTGAAAAGAGCGGAGAGGATAAGTCAAAGCGAACGTGTATGTGTTACACTATGGGCGTGTGAATCAAAGTTCAGCACCTGCTCTATAGATCTCCTGTCAGGACAGATATGGGAACATGTGAGACAAGAATTCACAATGTAAGGATAACAAAATGTCTTTATGGGTGATAATATGATACATCCATGCTTCACACTAAGAAGTAAGAGTATATGAGGTTAAAAGTCTTTTGTGACTAAATATTGAGGAAAAAAGTCATTTATCCACCCAGTGTATCTGTAAACACTGATACACTGAACAAAAACAGGGATTATGATAATATAAATATTCATTCATTCTCATCCCTTTATTATCCATTTCTGGATCAGGGGGGTGGCAATCAGAGCTGCCACCCAATTCACTATGCACCAGTCCCTTGCTAATCCTCCTACAGGTGGTGGGTCCACAGGAAGAAAGCGGCTTCTTCAACACAGACACGGCCTTGATCTTTCAGCAGGGAAAGTGGGGATAATTGTCTTGCCCAGGGACACAACGACAGCAGGCATCTCAGGGGGCAGATGACATGGGTCATGGTGGGATCGAACCCACAACCATTAGGTCCAAAGACCAACGCTCATATCAATCAATCAATCAACTTTATTTGTATGGCGCC